GTTATGTGATTGCTGCTTTGATTGGCCTTTCGGAAACTGGGCATAAGCAACAAAAAAATGTAATTTAGAAAAAGCGTTTTTAGCAGTGAAAATTTTTGTTCTTAAATGTCATATTTTCATTAAGCATCATATTCGTAAAAGAAAAAAATTGAAAATCTTATAAACAATGTATTTATTTATAATAATTACAATTCAATTAATTTTTTTAAAGGAACAGAATAATCAAAAAATTTTAAAAAAATCTTGATTGATTTATTAAAGTTTTTCATATTTCAATGCCTTAGATTGGTAATGACATGATAAAAACAATGAAAAATTAGATTTTTTTTGGCAATCTTTTCTAAACTCTTTCAAGAAGTGACAAAAATATTCTGGGTTAGACTACATAGAAATAATCTTAATTTTTTTTCGTCTTATTATTATTTATTCATGTGTCTTCTATTTTATTTGGTTTCAATAATCTTTAAGAGTTCCGTACCCACTGAATAGCACTAGCTTAAATAACACTATTGATTACATAATAAATAATAATAATTTATTATCTTGTAACCAAACTCATATTTGATAATGAGTTGAGCAATGACTTGTAAACAAATTTAACAGTTAAAATAAAACTAAAATATTGTCATCCTCGTCTCTTTAAAGAAATTTTCACACTACATTTGTCGCATTACATTGCGACCGTTGTTGATCCGTTTCCTAGTGCAATAGTAGCAATATGTTGTACAACTAGCTTACGCCCGCGGCTTCGCCCGCACATTATATCGTGCTTAAAAATACCTACGGAACACTTCGTGCGCAACTCCAACTCGCACTTGGGCGATTTTTTTTAACTTTATATAAACCATCATTTTACAGACCGTAGTTAACTATAGTTTCATCGCACAAATCTACAATGTGGTTCTTTAAGTTGATATAACTATTTTATTTATCATCCGACTTAAATAAAACTAACAATAAATGTTAAGAGAAGCTTACTACAATGCATTTGTAAAAGTTGCACTGAAATCGGAAAGGCCGTTTTAGCCAAGTTAGCGCACACAGACAAACAGATAAACAAACAATAATTTTAACTATCATTGTTTTGAGTTCTACTGCGTTGATAAAGGCCCCTAATAATAGTTTTTCTCAAATATCTTCCATGTACAAACAACAATCAGTTAAATTTTTATTACATGTATGATATTCTTTGAGCTCATAGTTCGCCGCCGCGCCAGTTGTTTAAATCAACTCGGGATAATATTTGGATGCCTACTTAGGAGACAGCATTTTGGGCTTCACCTCAATCGAATTAATATAGGTTGCATGTGCTAACAAGCATGACAACAAAACTATACACTTTATTATAGTAAGTAGGTATTTTGATAATGTCCCAAGAATTCATTAATATCAAGCAATAATATCTACAATATTAAATTATTTATTCACTAGCATCCTATGGTAAACTAATTAATAAGAAATAGGGTATAACCAATTATATTTATCTAGGTTATTATATTCGACATATTATAGTAACAGTTTACTCAATAGAAAATGTACATGGAAATTCAGTTCTTATTACAAACACTGTGGAATTAATTTTACGAACACTGACGTCGAGCTGCGTACACAGGGATCAAGAAATGTTTAAAAAGTGCCTGTGAAAAAACCGTTACGCGGAGCCACAAATACTTTGGAAAAGTATAAAACAAGGGATAGAGTATATTGCTGAATTTAGATATATGTCTAAGCGACACAATACGCAGTTCAAATATATGCTTTTCGGCCTTTAAAATAAAGGTTAAGGGCAAGTAAATTTGGACAGAAAGGTGGATCAACAAAGTACTCTTTTAATTTTGCTGGATCAAACAAGTTATGGAAAAGGACTATATATATATATATATATATATATATATATATATACAAGAATTGCTCGTTTAAAGGATAAGATTATAATACTTCATAAAATATTATAATTACTTTGACTGAAGTTTATTCATTCAGTCTGAAGAATATTAAGCTTTATCGAACGCAACTTTTTACGGACTTCTACGTTGCGTAGCACCGTGCATGTAATCATGGGTGGTATGTTATAGATGTCCTAGGGCGGCGGTAGTTACTTAACATCAGGTAGACCAAATAGGACAGGCGATGTCATCAATTTTAATATTGTAAAAATACCATTTGAGATATTGTATTTGCTATAAAGGAAGCATATTAGTTAATGAGAAGAATTGCTAAAAATGCAATAAAAACTAAATAGATAAGACATTGAGATTTTGCCGCTATGAGAATGTCGATCGCTTAACTTTTGTGCCCTTGGAAGGCTCAGGTTCGAATTCTAGCAGCGGTAAAAAAATAACAATTTTATCTACACATTTTAAGGTTCATCTTAAGTGTAGAGACTATGACAAAAATTAAAAAATTAGGAAGTGTTATGTTCGAAGTTTGTAGATTTGTGAAGTCCTATTAGTGTTTAGCTTCTCGTATATCAACATTGCGTGATATGGGCGGGTACAGTGGGTGAAAATTCATAATCCAAACCAACAAATGAATTTTATTTCAATTAACAATCAATTGATCGATATATTTAATTATAATGTCGTAACATGAGAATATCAGGTAACTTGTCCTTGTGCAGTAATTGTAACAGGATATCAATCTATCTATGACTTTGAAAACATGTATAATGTTTAAACATGTAATAAGTACTAACAGTAAATCGCATCTATACAAATCAAATGATAAATTATAGAAAGTATTGTAAAAAAGAATTTCAATATCAAAATGCATTAAAATAAATAGCTTAAAAGGAATGATTTTTACTAATAAACATTTGTAATCGTCACCAATAATATCTAATCGTAACAATATCCATCACACCATTTGTTGTAAAAACACGCTTCAATCACATACATAGAAAAAATGCTAACTTCAAATCTCCATGAAAATTGTTTATCTAATTAAAAGTCAATCAATGTCAATCATGCTTCATCTTTAAAAAAATACAATTCAGTTCTCAGCATCTAACCTTGCTTCTCGGCGAAATACAATTTTATTTTCAGTGAATCGAACACATTAAAAATGCAAATATTGACAAAATAGGAACTGAATAATCCGACTTTATCAAACAACAATAGTTTTCGTTGTTCTATACGAAAAGGAGCAAAGCCAAAAGTGTCCCAATCGCTAAAGTAATGCATTAAAATATATTTGTTATCTTAAATAGTAAAATACATAATTATCACGTAGTTATTCCGTGTTGATTGTTCTTTACATAGGTACATGTTTTGTTTTATTCATAAAATTGATATCAAGAAAGGTTAGTTTATTTTACCAAATATTCAATTCTGGTAAACATATTCTAATGTAAAAAGGTTTGGGCGTTGCACAGTACTATATTGCGGCACCATAACAGTGTACCAAAAGTAATAAAGATATACAATATTGAGTATTTAAACAGTTTCTATAAATTTGAGATAAAGAAATAGTATTAGCCATTCTACTTAAAAAAAATCGCTAATAATATTTTCTAAACAGAATTTTATGACGTAACTGTGTCTTTCGAAATTACTTGTAAAAGGTAAAAGTGTGAATTTGTGTGAAGACATAGTACATAACCATTTAAATGTACTTGGAATAATGACACTTATTTCTTAGTAAGTAAGTACTAAATTAACTTATCATCTATTTTTGAGCAAGTTTGAGACGACTAGCATTGCGAAACTCCCCATTATGTACAAAGTGGCCGGTATCGACGCCAAAAGATTGTATCTCTCCTCTGGAAAAAAAGAAAAAAAAAACGTTTTACAAACTTTCTTATTTTTAAACATGAAGAATTTGATTGCGACAAAAAAGAGAAAGTTTATACAGACATTAAAAAATAATTTATTATTTTACAAAGCAGTTTAAGCAAGCAACGCCGTGATTCGTTTAAGATGAATCGGCACTTGGTTTTTCACACCGTATGAATGGAACTAATCATATAATTTATTATATTTATTATTTATTAATAGGGTTTCAGAAAATAACTTTTGAAAACATAAATATCAATATGTAAAAAGGCTTAACAAAAGAAGCTATTAAATTAACATGCACGCAAAACATATTCTTCTATACTCTTTTTTGAGACTGCCACAAATTTCAATTTAAAACAGAAATCGGTCGATAAAACATAAACCGATAGAAACCTAGTAATTTGTCAATTAACTACTAAATTAATACAGTTAATTTAGAATATTTATTAGTCATTTCAATGAAACAGGACTCACCAAAATTGAAAAAAAAAATTAAGAACAAGAAGAGAAACTAGAAGAAAAGCTGTGTTAATTTGAAAAAAGCTTCTATGGCTTTAATAATAAGGTTTAATTTATTAGAAATTGATGTGGACCAAACTATCAGTGAAATTAAAGACTTGGGTACTAAAAATAATACCTTTATTAACGTGTTAGTAGCAGTCTTAATATAAATGTTAATAAAAATAACAGAAACCAATTCGAATTCGGAAACAATTAAAATAATGAAAAATAAATTAACCGGTATATACAGGGGAGTGTTGTACATCTACACATTTTACTAAAATTTTATATATACATATATAGAACTCATGTCGCTATTGCAAAAAACATTCGAAAGTGTCATTAAGTACTGAATACCACTAATAACTACTAATTGCGCATAACAAATAATACCAAACGGTAGAACCAGTGTAACTACAAAACTGTAGAGAAAACTTAAAAAGGCTATTGGAGAAATCACACAGCATATTGACACTAAACCTATTACCGCAATTGTGACATTAAGTACATAGCGTGTCGCCTGGTGATTGACACGGAGGTGCTTAACGCACATTTTTATGATGATGATTTAAAAATAATACCATCCAAAGAAGACGCTATTTCGAGTGTTGCCAGTGGTAAAAAATTCAAACGTCCTTTAAAACATTGCCACAGCGAATAAATAAAGAGTTCAAGTAGGGTGACGTCAATAATAAAGGGGCAAGCTGTCGCCAACGTAGACTAGTCGATCGGCGCCTGCGCCAGCCTACTGCAAATGTGCTGGAACACGTCCGGCACTATTGGCTGTGCGCTCTTTGTGCGGACGCCGTTCACACGCTCCACCACGATCGGGTTGTCGTCCCCGTCGAATATTATCTCGGGGTCGTTCTCGATTATCTCCTCGATCGTCTCCCAGTCCGTCGGGAGGCAGCGGCGGGGCGGGCAACACTGGCACATGCCGTAGTCGCACTCGCGCTTGCCCATAAAGTGCTCCGCGTGGTCGAGGATCGTCGAGCTGTCCTCGCCGCTCGGCAGGAACACGGAGAACTTGCGGGCGGAGTACTTGAGCAGCTCCTGAACGTAGTTGGTGCCCTCGTCTTGGGGGCCGATGGGGCCCGAAAGGGGCTCGATCAGGGAGCCCTTCCTGCTCGGCGGCGGGGTGGGGGCGGGGGCGCCGGGGGGGAGGGGGGCCGCGGCGCTGTGCCTCCTCTTAGCCTGACCTGTCATCGCGATCGACCGCTTCGCCGTCGCCCAGCCGAGCGAGCGCTGCACCGCCATCTTCCACTTGGTGTACCGCGCGTCGCGATCTGGAAACGTAACGAGTTTGGGTGCGGGAATGGTGCGACAAGTAGCCGCGGGCCACAGATCACTTTACCTACCGACAAGGGAAGGGGGTACTGTGTCGCCTTCCTCGGGGCAGTCCCCCTGGGGCGACACAGTCGACGAATCGAACGCCGGATAAAATTAACTGTGTATTGACCTATTGACCGAAACGCGGCGGAGGGCTTTTTATTTATCTAGTCGTGTTTGGGATAAGACTTTTTTTTGGGGGTTTCATTGCGTTCGGTTCTGTCCTTAAGGCGATGTATGCACAAAATAGGCTTTCACGGCTGTTAATATATACAATAGCATCGATGTTTTCTTTACCACCAAATCCCCTTCACCCCTCCGAATGCCTTAAAGTCGTCTGTTTACATACAGTGACTTAAGTCTCATAAGAGGTACGTTTGGATCACCAGCGTTAGGATGGACTAAAATAAGAGCATATATAAATGTCCGCCTGTTGGATAAAGGCCTCCTTTGTAGGCCATTATTAGGGGATAGCCCAACAGGCGGCCCCACTGCGGATTGTGGCAGACTTTACTAAATCTAATGGGTTAATTAATTTAGGCGAGAGATGGAAGTATGTATACTTTAGCGTTTAGGCATTGGCCTCGATCTTGCTACATGCAAGATTTCTGACTACCACAGATAAGTGAGAGCGAAGATTTTAAATGTTTTTCGAAGAGGTATCTAACGTCTTTCAACGTCTTTGCATATACATGTGAGCGGTTGTGGGCGTTATTTCATGTTGTTTTTTGTTTATAAAGCTATAGTCTGTATTCTTATCTCTCTTATCTATGTTATTATTCTATATATAGCTCGCTTTTAAAGCGCTTTCTTAACATGACCCCCAAGTAGTTTCTGTTTGAATTTTTGCTGTGTAAAACTGCAATGGTGGTGTTGGTGGGAAGAAGCAGTGGCTAGTTTTTGAACTTCGCCTGTGTTTAAAGTTGGTGGTGGTGGGGTGACTCACCGTCATCCGTGGTGGTGGGGAGGAAGGTGTCGCTGTGGGTGGAGTGGCGTCGCCACCTGTCTGCGCTCCACGTGCCGCACGCCATCCCAGCCGCGACGGCCGCGCCCAGAGCGCACATGTCCCACGTGTGGGCGCGCACTGCCCAGCGGAGTGGGAATTCATAAAATATACTGAGGGCTGCTCTTGGCATTAATGACTCTGTGGCGCAGTTGCCGAGGCGTTTGCTTAGGCGCCGCCGGTCGTGGGTTCGAATCCTATTCGAGCCAGCGGTTCACCTGATGTCAAGTGATAACCGCCGCCCATGACATTTGCAACACCCGTAGCCCGTTGGGTTGCAGACGCCTTTTAATAAAGTGGGCCCCGGCTACCTCACTCACCAGACGAAACGCAGAAGTATATAACACTTCCATTTCACGCTAGTCTTCTGGTGGTACTTCCGTGGTACTTCCTCGGTGAAACGCAGTGACAAAATTTCGCGTCCACATCAGACACTGATCTATTATATATTCGCGAAAGTTATTTTAGTCTAGTCCAAACATGTTTCCATCCCGTTTAAATCATTATAATTATTTAAACTAAACAAGATGGCTACTCACGCACTGGCATCCCGATCAGGTCTGCCTGCAATTGCATAAGAAGATCGTTCGACGTCATCTTCCCATCAACGTGGAGCTTGGACAGAGGCATACCGCAGTCTTTGTTCATTGCCTCCAGTATGTCCCTGAAATAAACACACTTAATGAAAACACACATCACTACATAGTATGAAACAAAGTCGTCCCGGCTGTCTGTATGTCCCTATGTATGCTCAGACCTTTAAAACTACGGAACGGATTTTGATGCGATTTTTTTACTAGATAGAATTCAAAAGGAAGGTTTATGACTACATAGTATAAAACAAAGTCGTCCCGCTGTATGTCTGTCCCTATGTATGCTTAGATCTTTAAAATTACAAAACGGATCTTGATGCGGTTTTTTTTACTAGATTGAGAGGAAGGTTTATGTGTATGATACATTGGACCCGCGCGAAGCCGGGGCGGGTCGCTAGTTATAAATGAATGAATGTCTGGTTTACCTTGTCTGGAAACAGACCGCTTCCAAAGCGGCCCTTATGATGTGATTCTTCGTGGTGAACGCGGTAAGACCGCAGATGATGCTGAAATCGTTAAAATAAAACAATACGTAAATACGCAACATGTTTACATTACGTATTTATTTATTTATTTAAATTTACATTTACCACAAGTCATATGCTTATTAGCATTAAGTTTGCCTTTTGTTTAGCCTTAAGTTGAGGTGTAAACAATAAATTTTAAATAAATAAAAATAAGTCAATATGGAAACGATTTTTTCTCGATTTGGGTCACAAAACATTTAAATTTTTTGTCAATAACCGCAAACATAAGCTTTCAAATGCTGTCCATCATTAGGAAATTGTAGCAGAATAGTAGAACAAAAAAACGCCTTTGAGAAATAATATATATAGTATCGATTTCACTCGGACCATAAAATTATGTCTTGCTTCGCTATCTTTCATTTGAACAAATTGTCTGATAGAACTATATATGATCAGGTCATATACGTAGTAGGTAGTAGGTAGTGAACCCAGTAGTTGTGGGTTCGATCCCCACTATTGGAAAAAATATTCTGTGATGAACATAGTGTTTTTCCAGTGTCTGACTGTTTATATATTTACAATATGTATTTATTTACAAAATAAAAGTAGTGTTCAAGTATGTTTATCTAGTACCCATAGTGAAAGCTTTGCTAAGTTTGGGACTCGGAACGTTGTAATAAATTATTATTATTAACAAATCGATTTGACTGGGCTCACTCGCGTGTATATGCTAAAATATTTATCGTTACTATCATTAGACGGAAGCCAATTGGAGGTGTGAGTGAGGTGTACCCGGAGCCCAATTTCCAAAAAGGCTCCCAACGCAGAGGCAGCTGTCTACGGGCGGCGGTATTCACTTAACATCAGGCGAACCGCCTGCTCTTTTCTAACTTCTCACATAAAATAAATAGAATAATAGATCACATAAGCCAAAGAGGTTAAAATGAACTATACGTCGCATCTTGTAACATGTATCTCATTTTACGTAAAACTTTGTGTTTTTTATGAGAACAAATTCATCGAACGTAGATCTGACCCGACATGTGAAGGCGGTGTACCCACCCGCGCGCGTCCTTCCGCCAGTAGGGCGCGAATAGACCGCTGAAGGCCGGCACGAAGTAGACGTCGCCCGTGGAGAAGACCTGGCCCGCAATGTGCTCCGTGTCCTGGGCGACGTCCCTGATCAGCTTCAGGTTGTCGCGGAGGAACTTCATCGCCCCGCCGGCCACCGCTATCGAGCCTGCAAGGGTTCAAACGGCATTGACTTTGATTCTAATGTTTTAACTGTCATCATCATCATCATTTCAGCCTGTTTGAGTCCACTGCTGAATATAGGCCTCCCCCATGGACTACTCACTCCATCTAGTGGGGGTTCGTCCCACACTGCGATGGCCAGTACGAGGCTGTAACTATTATTTTTTTTAGCTTTTTTCTTTAAAAATTAAACAGGAGCATGTGATGATTTCTTAAGTTTTCACAACCGTTACAAATTAAATTGAACAACTTTTTTCTTTTAAAACATTGCCATTACTATAGGATAACATTATCCTGTGTTGTGAGGACGTTTTACCAACATAAATTTCACGCGGACAAACACCCAGAAGCGAAACAACTATCTGTGGGTCACACAAATAGTTGTACCGTGTGGGGATCGAACCCACAACCTCGACGCCGAAGTCAATACCTTGTGCCTACCTATATATAGTGCCTACCTATTTACTCAGCGCGCTGTCAATTTTTCTTTTGGGGTGTGAAATTGAAAATAGTACAAATTAAAGTATAAACTCCAGACAGGCCAACAAAAAGCAAGGAGGGCCACATGCGGCCCGCGGGCATCAGGTTTAGTATAGCTGGTGTGAAGAAATCGCTTAATCTAGAATCTAGACTAAGCGATTTCTTCACACCATGATTATTGCACTTTATTTTAATTATCCATTCACAGGTCCCCGCTAAAAAGAATAACATAAAAGTGGTCTCTCACCAAGAAAATGTTGGGAACCCCTGGATTTATCCTCTAGCGCGTCCCCGCTAACGAGAATAACATAAAAGTGGTCCCTTATCAACAAAGGTTGGGAACCCCTGGATTTACCCTCTAGCGCGTCCCCGCTAACGAGAATAACATAAAAGTGGTCTCTCATCAAGAAAAGGTTGGGAACCCCTGGATTTATCCTCTAGCGCGTCCCCGCTAACGAGAATAACATAAAAGTGGTCCCTTATCAAGAAAGGTTGGGAACCCCTGGATTTACCCTCTAGCGCGTCCCCGCTAACGAGAATAACATAAAAGTGGTCCCTTATCAAGAAAGGTTGGGAACCCCTGGATTTACCCTCTAGCGCGTCCCCGCTAACGAGAATAACATAAAAGTGGTCCCTTATCAAGAAAGGTTGGGAACCCCTGGATTTACCCTCTAGCGCGTAGGTCCCTTATCAAGAAAGGTTGGGAACCCCTGGATTTACCCTCTAGCGCGTAGATGGCGGGCGCGTCGGGGCCCAGTTTGTAGGCGACCGTAGTGACCAGCCCGTGGGTGGATTGGACCCTTCGTGGGCCGGTGTTGTAGAGGAGGAAGCACCCGCTGCGGTAGGTGTTCTTCGCCTGGCCGGCCGACAGACAGTTCTGGCCCACCAGCGCCGCCTGCTGGTTGCCCAGGATCTGGGGGGTTATGCTCTAGTTGTTAAGATATCATGTGAAACAATGCGATAGTTATTCAAATATACAGCTGCCGAAACTGGTCAACTTCCGGTGGAAGAGCAAAAAGAAAAAAGGCGGCTTACGGGCTTGAGAGCATAGGTTAAAATTTGCAGAAGATGGGACGAAAATGTTCCTCGCCACTGCGGGATTCGAACCCGCGGCTTCGACCAGCCTGACCAGCCAGCTTAAACTGAATGCCACACCAACGAAAATTCTTTCTTTCGCTTTTCTATGCCCCCGCATCAGGGAAAAACTTTTCGCCCATTTTTTCTACAAACTTTAAAGCCAATAAAATGTTAACTGATTAACATCTCACGTTTAATGGGACAAAAGTGTAAATTAATTAGAGGATGAGTTTGGCACTTGAAATACGGTATAAAAGGGTTCAATACATCATATTTATTACATATAAATTATTTGTAGGGTAGAAAAAAATAAAAATCACTACATAGCATAAAACAAAATCGTCCCGCTGTCTGTCTGTCCCTATGTATGCTTAGATATTTAAAACTACGCAACGGAACTTGATACGTTTTTTTTTACTAGATAGATGGATTCAAGAGGAAGGTTTATATGTATATGCATAGTATAATAGAGAAACATTGTAGAGTATAGTTAGTATCAGCATCATAGTGACACAAAAATTTGATATATTAAACAATTCTCTACTAGCTTTTCGCCCGCGGCTTCGCTGGCGTTGAAGCCCTTAAATGAATACACATATATTTTAAAGTTTTTTTCCAATTAAAAATAGCCTATGTCCTTCCTCAGGCTCTAGACTATCTGAGTACCAAATTTCATTTATATAGGTTCCGTAGTTTCGGCGTGAAAGCGAGACAGACAGACAGAGTTTCTTTCGCATTTATAACATTAGTATGGATTGAGCCTAAAGAAACAAGCACCTTACCCCGGATATGCTTATCCCCTCCAGAACGGAGCCGTCCTTCACGCAGCCGTACAACTCGGAGCTGCTACGTATCTGTGGCAGGGTGTCACGGTGTATACCGAACAACCTGGGACAAAAAGTGACAATGTGCTCTAAAATATACGACATAAAGTCTAGTTTCATTCGCGAATACACGTATGAAAATTAAGCGTCAAATAGTTATAATGTGCTGTAAGACACAGATCATAAAGTTTAATTTCTTTCGTCACGATATCATTCAACTATTACCAAATACACGCAAGAAAATGAAGCGTCAAAAAGTAATAATGTGCTGTATTGCATAGTTAATAAAGTATACTTTCATTCGTCACGACATCGTTCAGCCTTTACAAAATACATACAAGAAAATGAAGCGCTAAAAAAATATAATGTGCTGTAACGTATAAGCCATAAAGTCTAATTTCTTTCGTCATCGACGTCATGACGGTAAATACACGTAAGAAATTGAAGTAGAAACTGTCATGTATCGAGTAATGATCAATTTCGGATTTCTTGATAACTCATGACCCAGTTAAAAAAACTAGCTTTAGAGCAATATTCTTCATATAGTCTCGAATCAATGTCTCTGGGTATCTTTCCAATGAGTTAGGAGACTATTTACAGCCAAGGAATTCCAAACCTTACCTAGAGAGCATAGGGTCCCAATTCAACGTTTCCAGATCCATCAGGAGGGTCCTGGACGCGTTCGTAACGTCGGTCACGTGCAGACCGCCTTTAGGGCCCCCGGTTAAATTCTGTAGCGGAAAATATCAAGTATTTTTGACAAAATACAGAAAAAGCTCTTCATAGTTATACAGCGTGTCTTTATCACCGCGACAATAAATGAACACACGTCTAACGCTACTTGCCAATAATCATAAAAAATATTAACGTAAATAAAATCCATAGTTAAAAGAAAATATTTTTCACACAAATTAATTAAGTAAAAAAGAAACAAAATTAGTAACATCCTATACAACTACATCTGACTGACTCATACATTCAGAGACTTTTTCATTCGTTGCCACAGCGCCGCATTACAAGCTTCTCCTTCTAACAGTATGTTTTGTCTCTTTTAAATTCATTCAACGCATTCATATGCTTTGTGACCTTTACAAATGAACTTTACATTAAAATTTTATACGTAAGGATGTTCTAAAATTCTTTGTTTTGGACAATTTGATAACTCGTTAAATATTGATGTTTAAAGAATGTAAATCTTTAATACAATTTTAAAAAGTTATCCTCTATATGTGTGTTCATTTATTGTCGCGATGGTAAAGACACGCTGTATAGTATTATCATTATACAAGTAGGTTATTGTAACCTTTGTAGCGTACCCTTGAGTTTAGTCATTCAAATGTCTTATGTTAAAAACGTAGGTACCATTTTGAGGCATAGAATCTCTTTTTTTTAGTTCTTTTTAAAGTCTTAATTGAAATGAAAGAAAGAAAATTATAACGTTATGTGTGTTAGTTACTATAAAGTTGAAGGATACATTGATGTGTGGAAGTGACTCTTGCTCTGCACTTGCAAGTCCCCTGGCTGCTGCTGATTTTATACTTAAACTAGCTGACCCGGCAAACGTTGTTTTGCCATATAAATTATTTGTAGGGTAAAAAAAAATACTTGGGGCGGACCACCCTTAACATTTATGGAGATGAAAAATAGATGTAGTCCGATTCTCCACTCTGGCCGGTCGAGCCGTTTTGGAGGAGTACAATTACAAACACCGTGACACGAGAATTTTATATATTAGATACATTAATTTGTGTACTTATATCATCATCATCATCATCACTTGTACTCCGTTTTACTTAAATAATTTAAAAAAAAAACATGAGATCTTCTTTCGACAGGTCTAGTTTGTTTTCGTGTTGTCGCTGGCAACACTGTGTACCGGAAATGACGTTATCTACTCGAGTGAAGCAAACGGACACATACATGTCCGTTTGCTTCGCAAACATACATGTGCTTTGGTCGCATGGTGCAGCAATTGCTTTTCGGCTGCTTCCCCCGACGGTGATATAGCCACTAGTGCTGCTTGTCGTTTGAATAGTTAAAACTTGTACAAAAAGTACGAAAAGACTGTCGCCTCTTTGGGAATCCAACCCACGTCTTCGACATTCGCGGCCTGACGCTTTAGCCACTAAGCTAAACGGCTGATTTCCACACCGACGAAAATCTTAAGGTCATTTATCTACATTGTTTTTAGCATTTGAAGCAATGCTATCCATCATTGCGCATCCTTTCCAGCATACAAAGTTAGAATAGTTGTTAATATTCAATTTCAGAAACAGTTAAAATATTACAATGAAATTAATGACGTTAGAACTCTTATATTCCGGTGTTTTTTGACGTTCCCTAAGAGCTTATAACGAGCCCATACTGAATGAAGATTCTCGCTGAAACCGCCACAGCTGCCATCGCAGATCCGGTACCACTCACCCACATGATCCAGGAGTCGACGGTGCCGAAGAGCAGCCTCTTGTCTCGGCTCGCCCTCCTAACGGCTTTGACGTTGTCTTTCAGCCAGCGCATCTTCAGGGCGCTGAAGTACGGGCTGATTGGTAGACCGCTGATGCCCTTCAGATAGTTCTTGTTGCGGTCGGGCACTTTAGCCAGGATCCAGTCCACGGTCGCGTTCGTTCGTATGTCGTTCCACGCTGTTGGTGCGAATAGATGTTTCACGAAATAATAGGCGTATACAGTATACAGCGGGGCCGGGTGGGTCATGCCGATCCCAGTATAATCTTATACCCACCCCAGGATTTTGGGTTACTGATCCGAAATTCTAGGCTGGATACCTAAGAGACTTCATAAAAAAATCATTGAAATCAAGTAGCTATCTACAGCCGAGAAACCTATGTACGTAATAACTACTGATTAGTTAATACTACTATTGTAAATTAATAAAAATTACTAACGGTAACGAACTATAATGCTAACGCATAGTATTCGTTTTATTTTTTGTAGTAAAGGCCCAGGCCCACCCTGGAAAATAACCCTACATACCCCAGTGTACAAAATACAAAACCAAATTATTTCCAAAAAGAACTTCCACATTTATGCCTTATTAACTGAACTCCACTCTAGGCTGTTGCCTGTCCTATGGGGGATAAATATTACGATGTACAATTTGATTTATGGGCTGTTAATGTTCTGGTTTTGTAAATAACATTTTGCAGTTTCACTGCACTTTATTTGTGTGAGTGGCAAACGAGCTGGCGGTTCATCATCACCGTCGTAATCATTTCGGCCCGTTTGAGTCCACTGCTGAACATAGGCCTCCCCCATAGACTGACCCCGTCGACTTCCCGCATATTAGGACGGGTCGTTATCGTTACTCCATCTACTGGGGGGTCGACTCGAGATCTTTGGCTGTCGGTTCACCTGATGTTAAGCGATTACCGCCGCCCATTTACATTTGCGACACCCGTAGGGTTGCAGATGCGTTGTCACCTTTTAATAAACTGAGCCCTGGCTACCTCACTAGAAAAAACGCAGAAATGTAACCCTTCCACTTCACACCGGTCTTCTGTGAGCTCGTGATAATTACCCGGACGTACCTGTCCCCCTACTACCAACGTAATATGAAACATTAAAATTTGTGGAAAAAAATGGGAGAAAAATTTTTCGCCGCTTCGCGAATCGAACCCACGTCTTTAGGATTCGCGACTAGAACCTCTAGCCACTAAGCTAAACGGCTGATTTTGAAACCGGCGAAGATATGAACGTGTATTATATACATTTTTTTCTCACTTTTTAAGCCTAATATCGCTTCACAACGGTGATTTGAAAGAGAGATTGCTATTTGAAACTAAATTTTTTATAGTGCTAATCTCTGAACTTAAGACACATTAAAATTTGCAGAAAAAAGTGACGAAAAGTTTTTCTTCGGCGCGCGAATCCGGAAGACGTGGGTTCGATTCGCGCAGCGGAGGGAAAACTTGCCCCATCTAGGTGGGGTCGCCCCTACATGCGAATCGTTTTGTTTGTGGCTATGTTTTTATGCTCTGACGTCAACCCATAACAATTTACTGTGAACCGAACAAATACTAATCCCGTGTAGGAATCGAACCTACAACCCCCCTCGGCGAAGACAAAAGCTCAATGATACGTCCATATCGGTTTAAAGAGTTTTTTTTTAATATCGCCTATTGAGATATCGATATCAACGTTTCAGATTGGGCTTGAAGTTTTATCGCTACTTAAAGCGATAAATTTATTTTGTAATTATTAAAAAAAATCTCAATTAAATTATTAAGGGTACACAACATAACATACACATTGATCGGAGAACGTAACTTAGTATAACCTGTATGTAAATTACAATCTTTTGCAGATAAATGAAATGCACTTCTTCTGGTTTCGCGCCGAGACGCTTTACGGACAAAACTAAGCTTGTATCTTGTATTAACTGATGTTTTTGCTTTCAGTCTTGAGACTATTAAAGCTTCATCTGACGCAGAACCAGTGGGCTAGCCAGAACCCACGGGTTTGGGCCCTCCGCTGTGGGTAGGGCCGCGCATGTGCTCATGCGTGCGTTTGACTATGGTGTCATCTAGGGGCCGTCGAGGCCGCGGTTCGGAACAAAGCTAAGCGGCCGATAGTATAACCTATGTTCAATAAATAAATATATTCCGATTCTGATTGAGTAGTTTTGTCTTTATCTGTACATTCGCGCTTTGCCATTAATCTCTTGGAGATTTCATTTAGAATTTTTATCTATCAAGCATTTGTTATCTATATTGAATTAATTCTAAAGATATTAATCGATTGTGTGTTTATTTTATTATGAGCAGTTAAGATTAGTGCGAACCTAAATAAAATAAATTGCCCATTTATGATTATATGGTTTTACCGTTTTCAATTTTCTTTTTACTTAATTATTTTCAATGATTTGTCTACTTTGTTAAACTCGGGGGATTACCCGCCTCTCTTGATTATCGCTGAAATTCAGCGTTGTAGTTTTTATTGAGACTTTTTGCTGAGCATGACACTTTTTATCATGGTCTATGACATAGAATAGTCAAACTGTAAAAATTTTAAACGTTAACCGTAGAAATAATATGTAAATTTTGTATAAGACAAACTTTTCTTTCGTTCTTGGCAAATATATTATCCTTTTTCTCAATACCTTTATTGGCACAGATTATAAAATACTATACAATTCTTAGCATAACTTATGGATTACTAATGAATGAGTAAATAAATGACAAAATGTATCAGACGGCTTATAAATAATCTGCGCAATTGTAAATGTACAATCTGGACTGACTTTGTAAGAAAGAGACGGTGATATATACCTATCGCAGGATGCAAAGGCTCGCCGGTAAACTTGTCCCAGGCTATAGTTGTCTCCCTCTGATTTGTTATTCCCAAAGTGACGATGTCTTCTTTAGAATAGCCTAAAAATAAAAATTATTGGAAAGAGCTTCACTTAGTTCAGGTATATTTCAAATGGAGTCTTATTAATAATTAATTAATATTAGGGTAGTAGCGAATGTAATGCTAGCAATTCATGAGTTATTTAACCTCTGAGTGCGCTGGTTAAATTGTAGATTTGGACCTTCGAAATTGTCATAAACGTCTTGACTTTCCCTTTAAATTCTTACGGTTGCCAGTCGAGGTCGTACATGGGCAGAAATTTTGACAGCACTTGCAATACTCTGCGATATCATTGCGCATCGACTTGTGAAAAGACAACCAGCTAATTTTGCGCTTCTTAGGTCATCTCTGTCGCACAGTAGAACAATGACTGACAAACGTCACATAGGTGGTTAGGTTAGGTTATTTACATTATTCGCTAAAGATTGCGTTTATGTGGAGTAGGAAGGTGGTATGTGGGGTTTTATATGTAGCCGTGATAGCTCATTGTAAGGTCGGTCGCTTTTAATCTCTTATCCTTTAAACGAGCAATTCTTGTATATATATATAATTGGAATCTCGGAAACGGCTCCAGCGATTTTCATGAAATTTAGTATGTGCGTAGATTCGGTTTCATTCTTAGAAAATGTCCTTTTATCCCTGTTTTCAGGGAATGAAAAATATCATTCGAATATGACGGTAAATTTCCCGGCAAAAAAAAATGTTATAATAGCTCGGTCGGTAATCGAGCGGCCCCAAATTAGACGGCCGCGGTTCGTATCACGATCATTTACACACTTACTTTTTACTTTTTTTCGATTCCAGATCATTTCTCTCTTTATTTTTAGTCGATTTGTTATTTTGTTATTCTTTTCCCTTTTCTTTAAAGTTCTTTCTTTTGTGAAAAACACCATTTCAAATTTTCTTATAATTACGTCGGTAAGATCGAAATATTATGCATATTTCATTACTCAGTAATTTGTATCTAAATTTAATTTCCAAAATACACGATTTACCAAAAAAAAAAAAAAAAAAAAACAAGCAAAGCTCGTTCCTCCAGGTACTTTTATATACTCGAGCAACCTGAGTTCGCTCCCCGGTGCCAGCATCAATGAAATTGTTAATTTTAAGTTCTGAATTATCAAGTACTCATCGGCGGAGCAAAACATCGTGAGAAAACCGCAACTTTCGAAATAAAAACAAAATAAATTTACGAAAATATGTGAAGTCCGCCAATCCGCAGCGGGACCGCGTGATGGCCTATGCCTTGATACCCTCTGTACAGAGGAGGCCTTCGCCCAGCAGTGGGACATTCATAGACAGTTACTTCACTTTTACGTGGGACTTTATTGAGTACCCACAAACCCCGCTGTCTACCCGCAAGCACTGCCTTGTATAAAGCATTTTTCCCACGTAAAAGAAACCGGTTGTCAATACTAAGTAACCGTGCCACAAGATACCGGTTGTCAACACTAAGGGGGTCCCCCGTGCCACTCACCCAGTTCGCTCAGCTGCCCGATCGCGTTCTCCGCGCAGAGCCTTATGTGGCTCAGAATCTCCATCGGGTCCTGTTCGTACCACCCTTCCTGCGGTTGCACCTCGGTCTTGTCCAATTGGTACGCGGCCAGCTCCTCGGAGCGCTCCGCCTCGAATATCTGGCGGCGTCGAGTCGCGGTTAATAAGTTTTTTGTTTAATTTGAAGTTAGCCCGCGCTTCACTTTTTTTTTTCGAGAGTATGTATGACCACCGAACGTAATGCTTTTAAGAATAAGATAACAAAACTATATCTAAGTTAGTTGGCAGAATAAAATCATCAGTAGTTATTGATATCGTATATTATTTATTTATATAAATTAAATAAGTATTTATGAATATTATAGTAGGTATATGTATTCTTTTTTGAATAATTAATGTAATATATTTTTGTTCTATTGGGTTTAATATGTTTATATACGTTATATATTTTCATGTAGAGTTTTAAATTTAATTATATATGAATATGTATATTATAACTTTTATTTTAACTTAAAATTTAATTTGAAACTTTTTACACCTGCCTCTTTTGTCTCTGCGTCGCCCATAGGTTGACTGGGAGAGAATGCCTTAGGCATTGAGTCCGCATATACACAATGTAAATTTTTTGTGTAAATGTTTAAATCAATAAATAAATATGTATGTATGTATGTATAATTGTTTGGCACGCTCTGCAGCCTAAACGGCTTGATGGATTTTAGCTTGAGAGGTGTCGTTAGATTCGTTGTTACTGTGAGTGACACTGGATACATCAAAATAAAAAGTTACACAGGAACGCAGTCAGGTTTTTTAGTTTTTTAAATTATACTCTTTATGCTGATGTCAAGTGATAACCGCCGCCCGTCTACATTTGCAACACCCGTAGGGCTTGCTGATGCGTGACCTTTTAATAAACTGAACCCCAGCTACCTCACTCACCAGAAGAAACGTGGGAGTATAAGACTTCCACCTCACGCCGGTCTTCCGTGAGGTCGCGGTACTTCCCCGGACGGACCTGCCCATTCGTGCAACAGCGAAATGTTGCGTAGCCCTACCATCTGCTGCCATCCCTGATGGTAAATGTTGTACATCCCCAATTAGGGCAAAATTAGCCCTCAAATTCGATAGAATTGAAAATTGACGTTCAGAGAAAACTTAGGGTAGATGACTAAAAAGTATACTAAATAAAACAAGCTTAATAGCTTCAGAGAGATGAATCGTCCGTACCGATTTTCGATTGGACATCAAAAACTTGAAATTAGTTTTCTAAGTCCACCCGCTCGTAACGAGTTTCCCGTCTAAAGCTATTCCAATATAACTCCGAGTGCAAGACATTAAAATTGCTATGATTAGGGTCGACGTCGAGCGTCGATGGCAAAACTAAATACATTGCTATTGTGAAAGAATATCAAAAGATAAAAATCAGGGCTCGCTAGCCACCACTATATACAATAAAGATGGCGTTTGTTAACCAAACAAATATGTTTGTCGTTTTATAAACGAATAAATAGAGATTAAATTCTGATACGGGGTAACTTCTTTTTCTGACGGATACGTTTTATGTATTGCAATAATAGGTATATTTCGGTGGTTTCAACGACGAGATCATTTATTCCATGTAAGACGATTTTTAACAGTTTGCCAAAACTTTATGAAACAACATACGAGTCATGGAAAAACCAAGCTCTCACAATTTTCTCAATTCCGCATTAAGTGAACGGAGATGAATAGATTCTACAGACCATCTATCCTATTAGACCTATTCTGTGCATCATAGTAGATTTAACTGCATCTTTGGATTTTTTGTACGTATAATGTGATCATTTTTTTATTCCGCCTATAACAATTGTTAACAAGTTACATTTAATATAAGTGACCTACGGATGAAAAGGCATATGTGCCCAACAACGATGGATCAAACACGTCAATTCCCAGGGAGTATTAAAAGTTACTTATTAACGATTATACTAAAATAAAATTATTTTTGCTTTTTATATATGTTTAATTAAAAAAATAAAAGTATATTAAAAAAGCAAGTAAAAAGCAAATTATCTCATAGAAATAATAAAATAGACGATAGAGGAAGTTATCAGAAAAAAATATAATAGAACAAAAATAAAATCGCAACGCCAAGTGTAAATTGACGATGACATTAAGAACCAAGACTCAAATACAAATTACTCTTACAAACAAGACAAGGACAAAGGATCGAAATTGAAGAAACTACGAAACGTTATCGAAAAGCTTTTAAAATATTTTAGTTGTTTCAGAATTTATCCGTTAAAATTACATAACAAAGTTTTAAAATTACTAACTATCATAAAAAAATGGTCTTAATGCTGAATGCGTTTCAAGTTTTTTGAAATGCGTGCTTTTCCATTTCTACAAAATATGATTTCAGCTGAGAAACAATATATATAACAATGGAAGCCTACACTCATTTACTAAATTTCCTAGATTATGGCAGCGGTAGGCATTCTTATATTCTACAACTTCTACATAACGACATATCTGACTATATGTAAAAAAGCAACAGAAATACTAAGGGATGTTTATCTAGTTGGAAGCCTAACTATACCAAGTACGCAATAGTGTTCGTTGTTGCACAAATGGTAGGTCCGTGCGGGAAACTACCATGATCTCACAGAAGACCGGCGTAAAGTGGAAGTGTAATACTTCTGCGTTTCGTCTGGTGAGAGAGGTGGCCGGGGCCCACTTTATTAAAAGGTTGCAACGCATCTGCAACACTACGAGTGTTGTAAATGTCCATGGGCGGTGGCTTTCACTTAACATCAGGTGAACCGCCAGCTCGCTTGCTACTTTCTCACATAAAAAAGTCACGATAAAAGTTATTATTGTTTTTTCCTTATACACGCTTGTATGGAACGATTGTTTATACAAAGCTTTTTTGAACCAATTTAGTGCGCGCGCAAGTAAGCATTTTGGGGTTGATAAGAAACATTGTTTAAAAAATTCCACGCGAATCGCATCGAAAAGAGAGTTCTGCTTACCACAAATCTGACCGTTTTCGTCCCATCGTCTATTACGCCGACTAGCGACTTCTTCAAACCGTCTCGCACCGGCATATCGGCTTCTGAAAGGAAACGAAAACACGATTAAATCATTTAAACATAAAAGGTTGGTGGTGATGTCTGTCAAATTTTAAAGTTGGAATTGTGACAGGAATCGGCGATATCGAGAAGCCTTAGTTCATACGAGGCATTGAATAGCAAATACCCTCACGAATGTAAATAAAAACTAAAGGCCAAAAGTAAATTTCTATAAAACCTATAATAACTATAAAACTAACGGACACCCCACTTACTTAACTTACCAAGCTCGAACCAAAAACACCAAAAACTCGGAAACCGGTCATAGAGATAAATGGTAATTTGTTTTATTATTACGAGTATAATCGAATCTCAGTAGGAGGTTAATCTCAGGTGTTAAAGTTCATAGGTAATCAGTTAACATCGGCTAAACCGCTTGTTTGTTTGCAAACTTTTCTCTTGATTAATTAACATTTAACAACGCAAAATTAAAGGCTGCAGACGTAATTGGTTCTCCTATTCGTGTATTAACTAATGTGGTGGCTAGTTTAGTTATCGAACATTTATTAGTTTATTCCATAAATATCTTTCGTTATTAAAGTGACTCATTGAATCGACGAAATGACTGCATTCTTCGTTGAATCATTCATTATGGTAACGTAAGTGTCACTCGCATATAAATCTGTCGCAATTTCGAAGATAAGCGAATAAATTTTGTGTACACATAAAATTTCCATTGCCCGATAAGTTAATTGGCTTAGATGTAACTGAGTTGAGAAGCGGTCACTTGCGAGTTATCGCTACCAGTGGACGTTTACCCCTTGCAGCAGCCAGGGTCATGGGGTTCGATTACGGCACGTGCACATGCCCTGTGGCTAGGGCGGTGTAGATGACCCTCGTCTTGTAGAGTTATCATTAACCACCCAACCGGACCTTGTTAATCGTTAGGTAAGTATATATTTAAATTTATAGACTATATAATCCATGCAAAGTTACGCTAAGGCTATGATTTAACAAATTAAACTTTATGAGTTATTGGGCCGCAAAACGTATAACGGTAGACAGATTGGTGATTCATAATAATATTAGTAAGTTTTTTTTATAACGAACGTAATGTTTGTTAAAGCATACACAGAATATAAAAGTGTGCCAATATAATACAACAATGATTCTTTTTAAGAGGTATCGTTATACCTACAAATTAAAAATTTCAGATGCCCTAAATAAAAATATATATTTTTTTAAATTTTTTTTTCTCGTCAAACTACACTGGACTATTTTTACCACACAATATTTACTAGTAGTGGGGATCGAAACCGGTGTGGGTTCGATACTGTATACAAGAACCCAAAGTAAAAACCAATATAATCTAGTGTTCATCTGTGGTACCTATGTTAAACGCTCCTATGAAAATGTTCCAGACCCATTGAAAGCAAAAAACAGGAGCAAAAATCCAATTTAGTAACGCGTTGTCTGACAAACTTATATAACTCGCCATTTTTCTATTTTTTATAATCTGTGCACTGGCACAAAGGTCACAGGTCACATGGCATTATGCCGTTGCCCAATATCGGATGTAAATAGGTCGAAACTTTCCTTGTACTCGTTACGCGATTTTATTAATCAGTTCAAAGTTTGTATACGATTGCCGGTTCGGGGAACTATAACGACCGCTGAAACTTTGAACTTGTGATAACGTGGATTGAATTAAAACTATTGTGAAACGTAATGTGTATTACGTTAAATATAAAACTGGTCGACACATAACTGAGGTCATCAAAGTTTCTTTTATACAATTGAGGCATCTTTCAAAGTCTTACAACAGGTAAAAATTTCCGTACTGGTCACTAATTGACCAAGAGAAACCGGGTTGACTGGTAGAGAATGAAAATTGGCATCAATGCCGCCCTTTGTGAACCCCATCTTAGGCTGTTGCTGTAAAGAAAATTGTCTGTGTATATTATACGTATATATATAGAACACGGTTACTATTAGAATAAAATCATTTATTCTTTATACACGAGTTATCGTGTATAAAGAATAAAGCCATCCAATATTCTGTATCGTATTTTGATAGTACGTATGGAAGAGGCTTTTTTCGGAGCAGTTGAACCATCTTTCAATACTTATTTACTTATTTTAAAAGCGTTATCCAATATTGTCATGGGATGCATGAAAAAAATGGTTACACAAATAATGATTTTGCCATCATCAATAAATCTAACTGGGTATTGTACATTTATATCTACTTTTTATTTTGACATACATTTAAATCTAGTTTAAAGACTGCTTGTCTTTGTTAAAATTAGTATATAGTATTCATTAGTGTTACGATTACAAATATTACACAATTTAGATGACTAAATGAATGAATACGAATTCAGATAAAAGTTTTTAAACACTTTACATGAATTGCGCGTGAAATTATATCTTTATCTTTATTAGATAGTATAAAACAATGTCGCTCCCGATGTTTGTACGCTTAGATCTTTTAAACTACGCAACGGATTTTAATGCGGTTTTCAGCAGTAGATAGAGTAATTCAAGCGTCAGTTTATGTTGCATACATGTATATTATAGTAGAGAAAAGCCGAGAAATTCAATATCTAAATTTTACCCGAGCGAAGTCGGGGCGGGTCGTTAGTGGTTTATATTACGCATAGTGGTCCGGTACCGGAACCTTTGACCCGTGACGTAGAAGTTACATAAACTGAGCCATTTAAAACTCAGTAATCAGACGCCAGTTTCTGGAATGTTTAAATCGTATAGACTGTAGACAGTACAAGTTAGCAATGTCAAGGGTTAAATGTTTCTTGAGGATTTGTAAACAGATATAAAATCTTATCTTCCGCTTACTTTTCTCACTATTTATCTAGCAACAATAATATATTTGAAATGTCCGTGTCATTTTGTGTCAATATTTTTTTTCTAATTTGTAGTGCTTTTGCTGTAAATAAATATTATTATTATTATTTAGGCCGTGATAACTCAGTGTTCAGATGCGGGCTTCTATTTCAATAATTAATTTGAATTACTTCCCTTGGCTCTTAATTAAATTTAGTGCTGTGAAGAAAAACATCGCACCTGCATATTTTTAAAATAATAATAAAATAAAGTAATTCGAAGACATGTGAAGTACGCCAATCCGCAGTGGGGCCGCGTGGACTATGCCCTGATACCCTCTCTAGAGACGAGGCCTTTGCCCAGCTGTGGGATATGTACAGGCTGATACTTCACATTACTTTTACCCGAGTGCAAATCCTGTTGCCCACCAATGAAATTGTTAATTACAATTTTAAGTGCTGCCTTATCACATGCTCAACGATGTAGGAAAACATCGTGAATAATAACAAAAAATATTTAAGTAATCCAATCCACAGAGGACCCGTGTGATGGACTATATCCTATATATATACCCTAATACTCTCTGTGCAGAGTGGCGTGTTTGCTCAGCAGTGGGACATAAAGATGGGGAAGGCTCGTGCATAAGCTATTATTTATAACAAGCAACTTGCACTATTAATTATGTTTTAAGATAAAATACGATATTGCATAAAGTGAACTAGCCGTAGATATGCGGAAGATGCTATGCCTTATGATGGTCGATATTATAAATTCCGCCGACTAGTGGTATAATGTTCGAGTTAGTAAAAAAACGTTACCCTCCTTACACAGTCGGTTAAAACCACACGTAAAGATTCTCCTTGACTAATTGTATGGCATGTTACTGTTGATCTGTATGCGGATAATAAATCATTACTACACTAATTGTTTCGACATCATTTTAATTGGAGACTGGAATGTAAGAAGCCTCGCTTCACAATTGTATCGCGGTGTCACTAATATGCAATGTAATGGATAAGAGTAAAGTAACAGCCTATACATGTCCCACTGCTGGGCAAAGGCCTCCTCTATACAGAGGGTATCAGGGCATAGTCCACCACGCGGCCCCACTGCGGATTGGCGGACTTCACATATTTTCGAAATATATATATATTTTTTTGTTATTATTTCGAAAATATGCAGGTTTCCTCACGATGTTTTTCCTTCACCGCGGAGCACGTGATAAGTCAGCACTTAAAGTTAAAAACTTCATTGGTGCCGGCACCGGGGATCGAACTCATGTTGCTCGAGTATATTGAATTAAAGGCGAGCGTCCGGACACTGGGCTATCACGGCTCTTGGCTATCACGGCTCATGTAATGGATACTACGAAATAATTGCTTAAAATTTATCAACGATTAAGAATATAATGACTGAAACTGTCTCATGTGACACATGTATACATGCATACATATACAACTTTGTTAAAACATCACTATGATAGTGATATTTTAACGAAGTTGTTGTAATGAAATAGCACACTGATATCGTTTGCAATGTAAAAGTAAGATACCTTGAGAAATGTTTACGGACATATAATGCCAATAACGGAACTCTACAAAGGAATTGTAGTCCCCAATATTTGTCCGTTATTGTAAAAAAAAAAAAAAAAACAAACTAACACAGATGAAATGAATCCGCCATGATTAATAATCGTTGTGTACGTAATTGTAAAAAAAAAACGAACACAGGTGAAATCAATCCGCCATGATTAATAATCGAATCGACGGATGTTAAGATCACTATTTTCTTTACCCTCGTAAAAAAATTACTACACAAATACAAACTGAATAAGTAATAAGTGTCTCAGTAGAGATCCCTTACCGTTATTCCAACTGCGCTACTTATGTAATCTGTACAATGAATCAAGAATTATAATGAAAATTTCTTTTTTTTAAATACATTGCCCTTACTTTAGGATAACATTATCCTGTGTTGTAAGGATGTTTTACAAACATAAATTTCACACGGACAAACACCCAGATGCGAAACACCTATCTGTTGGTCACACAAATAGTTGTCCCGTGTGGGAAATGAACCACGACCCCCAACGCCGCTGCCGATATCTTGGCGAATGCGCCACGGAGTCATCTATATAAATTATCATTAAATCTTAAAACCAGTTGCAAAAACACACTTCGCCAAGAAGTAACCTCATCATGAATGAATCGATACACAGTGTTTTAGTTATCGCGATATTTCTAGTAGGCTAAAGTTTAGAATAATTTAAGGTGCGATGCAAGCATCGGTAACTATCGTTACCATTATATGGTGAATAAATTATCATCATTTTAATATGAAGCATAGATTTATCTACAGTCCACCATATAGAAGTGACCAACACGTGTATCACGGTGTAAATTATGGTTGATCGTGATGTTTCAAGGAATGGAAAAAAACCGAACGAATTGAAACATAGTATATATTTTATAGCAGACTTTCCTCAGTCCATCTACGCGCCGACGACACATTATTAATATAAGATCTTAAAATGAAATGTTGGCCACCCCTGACATTTAGATTCAATAAAATCCTTTTGGAAGGTGGATGGAAACGTATCTTGATGATAAGTGTACATAGAATAAGGTTACGTAATAATTTTATTTATTGTGAACGGGTATTTCTCACCCAATACGTAATGAAATAATCACGGTTGTATTTAAATGTAGACTCACTTATCACCATTCGATATATATACGATTACGAGTACGTATTACCTCCACAACCCATAAATCATTCTTTTTTTTCTTCGACGCTGACTACGATAACATAGAACTGCCAGATATCAAGGTCCGTTCAGTGGTATGGTTATCATTTATTCATTACTGGTCAAATTTCGGTATAACTGTAGAGTCGAAAGTGGATTAGTATCAACTTGGCTAGGGGCGGACATTTTCATGAACAAATCGTTACCGGAAAAAGCATTACTAACCTAAATCCGGATGTTTGCATTTGAGTTTGTACGCTCTTCGCGCAGTTTTGTCTAAACGGATTCGAGTGGGACATGCAGGAGTAAAGTATAGTGAAACATGCGGGATAACAATATAGGATACTTTCTATACGTAACCATACGAGTGACGCAGCATATAAGAGCCAGTTGGATGCATAATTAATTGGAATATGATCTCTTTAGTTACAGGATAACCCTGTATATCCTTTTATCCTGTATGGCTTTTCTAAAGGTGACCAAATTCACACAGGGAGTTCGGACTCGGTAGCATAATCGTTTATTGAAATAAAAACAAACTTTTTTTTAGATAAGTTCTAATTAATTTAATTAATTAATTATGAATTATTTTAAATATTTATCATTTTTTATATGACATTATTTATGGCTAGAATTTAATTTAAAAAAATTGATATACTTAGAGAAGCCCCTGTATACAAGAAGATAAATATTGCGAGTCTTTCCTATAAGAATAGGAAGGCTCGTGTGGGGAAGTACTAAAGCCTCACAGAATAGCGGCGTGAACTGTTGTTTTAGGGTTGCGTACCCAAAGGGTAAAACGGGACCCTATTACTAAGACTTCGCTGTCTGTCTGTCTGTCTGTCCGTCTGTCACGAGGCTGTATCTCATGAGCCGTGATAGTTAGACAGTTGAAAATATTCACATATGATGTATTTCTGTTGCCGCTATAATAATAAATACTAAAAAATATTTAAGTGGGGCTGCCATAAAACGGACATGATATTTTTGCCGCTTTATCGATAATGGTACGAAAACCTTCGTCCGCGAGTCCTACTCGCCGCACTTGGCCGTTTTTTGTTACTTTTGCATTTCGTCTGGTAAGAGAGGTGACTGGTAATTGGGCGCACTTTTTTAAAAGGCGGCATCACATCTGCCACCCCAATGGTGTTGCAAATGCCGCATTTTCTAATTGCGTACATACCGGTTGAGATGTTTGTTGTCACAGCGACATCGCCGTTATAACCATCGCTTAATCCGATCCTATCGCGATGCTTTGATAACACTGCGTCTTAACTCAGATAATGGAGATCCGAACGGCAGGCAGAGTTATTTTCCACGGCCGATAATTTTGTTACACACCGATGTCGATTAGTTAAACATTTTGATATGTTAATCGAGCAATAATACAATAGCGAGGATTTAAGTATGTTTCTACGTTAAATGAAACTAGTTTACGGATTTTATCGCGTTTTTATTTTGTTTTTAAATTCCCGACGTTTCGAACCCTTTCCAGCGTTCATGGTCACGGGACAGACTAGTCTGTCGGGAATTTCAAAACAAAATAGAAACGCGATAAAATCCGTAAACTAGTTTCATTTAATATGTACAATATTCGCGTAAAATCAAGAAGTCAACAAGTTTCTATGTGTTATAAACAAAATTCATGCAATTGTAAAATTACGTACACTCGAATTACATATAAAAGTATTTTTGTTACGTAACATACTCCAATAACTTAATGTAATAATACAATATTAATATCGATATGTTCAGCTTTGATTTCATTTCATCGTAAAGTGAAAGTAAAGTGCCTATACTTGTATATGTCCCACAGCTGGGCAAAGGCCTCCTTTGTAGGGCATTAGGGCATACCACGCAACCCCACTGCAGACTGGCAGACTTCACATATCTTCAAAAAAATCTTGTTTTGTTATCACTCCGAGAATTTCCTCGCAATGTCTTCCTGCACCGCCTAAGATGCGATAAGTCGGCACTTAAAATTGCAATTAACAATTTCATCGGTGCCCGCACTGGGATTTGAACTCCTCTAGTCTACTAAATTACAAACGAGCGCCCGGAAACTGAGCTATCACGGCATTTCATCGTTCGTAATAGGATTTCAAAATAAATACCAAAATTCAAATGAAGACTGGACTATTTTTACGAAGTCATTATAGATAATGGTTATAAATAAGAATTTTTATCTGAATGCCTGTAAGTTTGGATTAAATAGGCTCCAAGATGGCTCTAGGGATAAACAAGAATTTTAAATCAGATTTTCGTGTAAAACGCGTTAAAATATCTTGTGGAGATCAGAATACGTATATTAATATAATCTAGGATTATTTTAATTATAATGATTTTTTAAAAACATTGTATGACATTTATGGCTTCATTTTAACCACCGGATCCGTGGGGATAAAGTCGCCGCCATAAGCTGGTGTGTAATATTTCTTACTGATACTAGTCTGCTTACTGAAGTCCATTATTATAATGTAAAAAAAAGACATCTATCTCAACAGACCTTCGGCTTAACACAGCAGATAAAAAATGTGAATTACCGGATAAGACATGACTCGCGCAAATTTTCACTTAATTTTTTTACGACTTCACGAAAATCTTATATACAAACAAAATTAAAATTTTCACATTTATTTTTAGACGAAAAAAAAAAATCAACGGTAAACGTTGAAAACTTTCTAAACTCTTACCTTCATCGATCATTCCCATGTCAGCATTCACAACAAATTCGAAAAACACAAAGGCACTTTTTAAAAATGTTGAGAAGTAAAGAAGACACGCGTACACTCGCACATCGATCCGGCGACACTGAGGAGGCGCGGCAAGTCACGCCCGTTCAGCCCTCTTATCATTTCCGAACGTGACGTAGGCGATACGTACGACGCTAGAGTGCCAATGTTTTCGATTTCAAGGGCGGACATTTCCGCACCTGCGATTGCTGGATGTAAATGACTTTTTTAGTGAATTTAACGCATCTTCGACCATATATTTGTAGTTTCTCTCAAAGGCGGTCAACAACAGGTCACCTAGGGATTTTATTTATTATTTAACATACATACATAATTATGTCTTAGAATAGAAAATGCATAGAAAAAAAGTAAAGTAACAGCCTATACATGTCCCACTGCTGGGCAAAGGCCTCCTCTATACAGAGGGTATCAGGGCATAGTCCACCACGCGGCCCCACTGCGGACGAGCGGACTGCGGCGAAAATATGCAGGTTTCCTCACGATGTTTTCCTTCACCGCGGAGCACGTGATAATTCAGAAAATGCATATTTGTAATAAAATAAATTTTCCACCTGTCAGTCTTGTCTTGTTTGTAGTTTATGAGTAATATTTTCAAGTGTTTATGTCACAAGAAAGGTATAAATCCTATCAACAAACAAACAAATCCGACAAATCAACGTACAAACTAGAAAACGAGTCGAATTAAATGTCTGATGTGATGAAATTTACATACAAGTACTTTTTTGCTATATTTTTAACACTGTGGCGTCGCGGGGATTAATTTATTTTTTCATCAGAATTACCACATATCCCTGCATATGTGGTAACTCTGATGACAATAATAGGTTTTACAGGATTTGTACCTTCTTTCATACCAACCTACATCGTCCAATGAGATATACAGTTGTCGTTTCCAACGCGACAATATATGAATACACATGTAGAGGATAAATTTTTAAAATTGTATCAAAAATTTACATTCTTTAAACATCAATATTTAAGGAGTTATTAAATTTTCCAAAACAAAGAAATTTAGAACACCCTTACGTATAAAACTGTAACGTAAAGTTCATTTGTAAAGGTCACAAAGCATATGAATGGGTTGAATGAATTTAAAAGAGACAAAACATACTGTTAGAAGGAGAGGCTTGTAATGCGACGCCGTGGCAACGAATGAAGTCTCTGAATGTATGAATCAGTCAGTTGTAGTTGTATACGATGTTACAAATTTTGTTTCTTTTTTACTTAATTAGTTTGTTTGAAAAATATATTTTTTTAACTATGGACTTTTTTTAACGTTAATACTTTTTTATGATTATTGGCAACTAGCATTAGACGTGTGTTCATTTATTGTCGCAATGGTAACGACACGCTGTATACAATTCATATAATATTTGTGCACATCTAAAATTATAATATATAAGTAATATATTTTTATATTATAAGTAATAAATTTAACCAAATATATATTTACTGCAATTTTATCGTAGTTAACGATTTATCGCAAAAATTAGTTGTTTATGATAAAAATATTGTCTAGTGTAGTGAAAGTCCCAACATAATCAAGTAATATGGTTTATCTAATATTACGTCATATTTTACCATATATATCGTTATTCTACAATCTTTATTGCCATTTGATATATTCTAGTCGGCCTAACAACATGTAATGCAAGCTTATCGTAATGACAAGAATTTGACACCATATCTCTGAACTCTTTAAATAATATATGTCGTATTAATATATAGAATATTCTATAAAAAAATTACTGCGGTAAATTGTTATTCAGTTAAATAAGGAAACTCCACAAATCCACATACAACATTTTTTACAACAGTTGTTTAATTATAAAAACTTGTGAGTGCCCAGCGGTGGAATTTCAACATAATTATTTATACATCGAAGTGCGCAATGTTTTTTTTATTGATTTAATTGTAAATTAAGTGCATTTTTTTAAATATTAGCATTCAACACTTCTTCTCGATATAAACTATAAGTGTTGGAAATTTCATAAGTACTCCTCCGTGCGCGTAATTTTCGTAAAAAGGGGTACAAAGTTTTTGCTTCACGCATTAATATATTGATTAGTAATTACACAACGCAAAAAATCTGCTTTTCTAAATCTAAATGGTGCAGTGAATCTTGTCTCATCACACCCGTTTCACATCCATACGGTAACGTCACTGACATTGAAAATGGCGGCAAAATCAATGACACGTAACGATGTATAACAAAAAAACATTGACATTGAAAATGGCGCCAAAATCAATGACAAGTAATGATTAGTAACAAAAACATCTGTACCGTCTATGCATTTCTGTCTCTTCAACACCCGTTTAATATCCATATCAACTTCCATTAAAACTATTCTTCATTCAGCACTCAATATTACGACACTAATGTGTTCTGACCAGTAATCTTTGTGCTAGGTTTTGTCGTCTGAAGATTAGCGGGCGGCCAATGGAAACGCTTGATCCACTTGAGTTTTTAAAAATAGATTTTGCGCTAGACAATTACGCGCACGTCGGGACGCAATCATCGGGTACGTGGGACAAAGAAACGCCGAATTGTTTTTGTACATAAATGACACATTGTCGCGCGATCTTATCCAAATCATAATAAAACATTTAATATTTTCACACACCGTTAACCAGTCTCAAACTAAGCAAAGCTTGTGCTATCTATGCATACTGAATCATAAACATAATTAAATATAATTTTATTTTGTAAATGTTCGTACTATAGATATAAAAACAGCAAGATATTTTTGAAAATAACATTTTCTTTCAAATTTTATAATAATAATAATAATAATAAATATTTTATTTTGAAAAGAAACATTGTTTGCTGCGACTTATATTCATAATGCATATAACATTTAAGATTAGTTAGAAGCTTAGTTTAATCTAGTAAAGAAAAGATTTGCACTAATAAACACAACCTTACATTCGATATTATGAAAAAATATGCTCATAGCGTAAGTGGCAACAGCAGAAAATTTACAAATACCCTCCGCGCTAGTAAGAACTGTGTTGCGGCAGAACAGTATCACCGTTCCGCATTATATTAGTATTATGATTATTTTTACATTAAAGTATGATTGTATTGAAGTTCTGTAGTGGGGCATGGTAGCCTTTATTGTTGAACGAATGGGCGGGCTCGTCCAGGGGTTGCATATATGTTATCAACCTACAAAACTGTGGGCCCCAGTCACCTCAGCCTCTAGCCTAAACGCGAAAGTATAATCCCACTTGACGCCGGGGCTGTGGGACCGTGGTACTTCCCCGGACGGGATCTTCCATTCGTGCAACAGCGAAGACTGTTACGTGGCTCTACCACAGTATTCTCACCCAGTGAAGTCCCCTCGGCAGCCACACTCTGTCGTAGGGAGCTCCCCTCGTGAGGAACGCGACGGTGCCGCTCTGCGCTGCGCACAGGAGAGCACCAGGGAAGGTATTCAAATCCCACGCAGCCCGGAGAACACTTCGCGTTGCCGTCCTGGTCGGGTCCACTTTACGGGACGATGGCCGTAAAGAGGGCCATACGAACACCTGCAGACCCATAGAGACACAAAACTCATTGGTAAAAGGTAATCCATTAAGTCATTGCACATAATATAATTATTGTTAATCTTTTTCATTCAGACATAGCCAATTCTATTGAGGTTCCATTATTAAATGAGTAGTAACAAAGTAACATCGTGCTATAATTTAATCTGTGCATGCAGATTTGCACATTTAGGGTCTGTTTCACAATGTCCAAATAAAGTCCCGAGTAAGCTATTTGCCACTTATCTGATGAATAAAGTCATCGTTGGCGTTTCACAATCTTATAATAAGCATATTATCTGACAAATAAAGTTCGAAGTAAAATATTATAGGTTAGATCATCTGTCCGATAAGGAATTTATTTGGTTGTTTGTTACTTGACAGATCATTTTCAAGAAGGAATTACTATACGTATTTCGTTAGTTGTGAAATCGAAAAATATTAAAAATGGATCTAATTAATGCCTTCGACGACGAGTTCATTATTTTTTTATCGTTTATCGGAACCACACAGATATCCTGTGTTTCGAAGCCGCTCTAATAACATGGTGATGATGAGGAATTTAGAGTGCGATTTAGATTTAATAAAGACACTGTGTATTAGATACATTTATAGCAAATATCTTCTTTAACTTCTTTTCTTAAATTTCTATTCGAGCAAATACAGAAAGGTTTTATTTTTCCATATGTCTTATTTTTTATAAATAACGTATGTAGTGAAATGTCTATCTACTTAATATCCATGTTGTTTGTAATAGGTTCTTGAATAATCATTGTTTCAGGGACTATGCTATATCATCTATGGATTGAATTCTGTTGACACTGCAATATTATGCAACTGTAAGTTTTCTGAACATAGTTGGTGATTTTACTGGAGTGAGTAAGGCATCAGCTTGTTGCATTGTGAATGTGGTGTCACAAGCAATCGCACGATATCGAACTGTGTCCGTACAGTTTGTTAAGTGCCCGAAGATGTTACTGAATAATAAGGAAACTTTTATGAGATAGCTAGATTTCCAAGGCTTATTGGTGCCATTCATTGTACCCAAGGCCCTAATAAAATCTACAGGTGGTGACAATTCAGGAAGCTATCTAAACAGAAAACGCCGATTCTCGTTCAATGTTCAAACAATAGTTGATTCCGACTTGAAAATAATGGACATAGTGACTAGATGGCCTGAAGCCACACACGACCAAATGTTATTTAATAAAACAAAGATTTTTGAAACAGATAATTTGGTCATAGTGTATTTGTTGGTGATAAAGGTTAAGAAAATACATTTTATCTTTTGACTCCACTTCAAAATCCTGTTACACCAGCAGAACATCTCTATAACGAATAAGAAGTAGGAATCTTCTTGAGCGGACTTCGGTGTTTGTAAAAATAGGTTTCCTATATTAGTAAAAAAAAATTATATTCATTCGTCTCGTGTCCAGTCTGTAATTGTAGCATGTGTGGTGTTGCACAATATTCCAATTAATCTAAAAATGTTTTTGTATCATTATAATTCTTTAAGAGTATGTATTTCAGGTATATAAATACGTAACACAAAATAATGCAAAAAAAAATACATTACGAATGCTTTCAAGAGTGATTCAATTAAAAAAAATGTTTTATGTTCTCACATTTCCCGTAAATCGAAACGCCAAAATGCGACGTTGCCATCTCTATCTTACAAGTAACAAACTGACACATAAACTTAATGGTAAGACGTTTGTGAAACGCAAAATATTTTAACAGGAAGTTTTATATGTCAGTTAATTATCATACACTTTATTCAGACATTGTGAAACAGGCCCTTATTAAGTTATTTCTTTGACAAGTTTTAGTTATCTATTATGAGTTATCATAACTTTTTAGTTTTTATAGAGCCACCCGTCCTTGAAAATAGTAATGAGCTAAGTACCAACGACTACGTAGTTTTAATCAATGTTTGATTGCCTAGGTCGTTAACTACAAATATAAATTGTTATATAGTTTTTCCAATTATCAATTATAATATTTAGGATGTTATGATGACGTAAGCGTATATTTACTGTTAAAGGTAACTATTAATATAGATTTAGATTTCAAACTTAATATATCGCTTGAGTCCGTCTCGTGAATTCTGCGAATTATTCGAAACGTTGGTTAATATACATAAAGTTTATTAAAATTTAACCCGACAGAATCCTTAAATATTTTATAAATTTATAAATATTGTCATTAAATATTTATTAATTTAAATTTATAATGTGCTGTGTTCGTCTAAATATTTACACAAAATACTGTAAATTAGAAAGTTCATACAGGTGTAGTAATAGAGTATCTCTATCGGTGAACATAAGAGTATATGGGCTCAAATCGAAAAATCAAAAAGATCAGGGGATATTTACATTAACGAAAATGTAATCAAACAATGTTTATTCAAATTAACAAACAATAGAGCGGAAAAGGAACGGATAATTTAATATATTATTAATATATTGGTATAATCTGCTTCTAAAATTATACAGCGTGTCGTTACCAACGCGTCAATAAATGAACACACGTCTAACGCTACTTGCCAATAATCATAAAAAAATATTAACGTTAAAAGAAATAAAAGGAACAATTTTAGAACACCCTTACGTATAAAACTGTAACCTAAAGTTCATTTGTAAAGGTCACAAAGCACATGAATAGGTTGAATGAATTTAAAAGAGATAAAACATACTGTTAGAAGGAGAGATTTGTACGCTGTGGCAATTAATGAAAAAGTCTCTGAATGTATGAATCTATCCAGTTGTTGTTGTGTATAGGTGTTACAAATTTTGTTTCTTTTTTATTTAATTAGTTTGTTGGAATTTTTTTTTAAATTGTGTTCTTTTAATGATTTGTATTTTTATATAATTATTGGCAAGTAGCGTTAGACTTGTGTTCATTTAATGTCGCTGTTGTAACGACACGCTGTATACAATACTCAATACAATAATCATAAAAAATATTAACGTTAAACAAAATCCATAATTTAAAAAAAATATTTTTCAAACAAACTAATTAAGTAAAAAAGAAACAAAATTTGTAACATCCTATACAACTCGCCCGCAGCGTCGTATTACAAGCCTCTCCTTCTAACAGTATGTTTTGTCTCTTTTAAATTCATTCAACCCATTCATATGCTTTGTGACCTTTACAAATGAACTTTACGTTACGCTTTTATAGGTAAGGATGTTCTAAAATTCTTTGTTATGGAAAATTTAATAACTCTGTAAATATTGATGTTTAAAGAATTTAAATGTTTAATACAACTTTAAAAAGTTATCTATATATATATATATTATATGTGTGCTCATTTATTGTCGCGATGGTAACAACACGCTGTATATGACATAAGATTAAAAACAAAACATTAAATAAAATCTATGCAAACATATGAATACAAATATATTTATAGGATTATTATTAGAACTTTACATATTGAATCTGTAATAAAAAAAAATAATGAAATAAGAATGGATGATATTTATAGTATGTTAATGTGTTATTCACATATTTACAAACTTATCCCATTAAAATTAGTCCTTGCACCACCATTGTTTACATATTGTAAAGGTAAGTAAGGGCAAAGTACAGAAAACAAATTTTGTTTATTTCAAGGTCAATATATACATAATATACAATGTAATATTATTATTTTTTTTTTTCATTTATAACAGTTGAGAAGTATGTTAGAAGCAAATTCTAAAATGAATTTATCTTTAAATGTTAACAATAATGCCCCGCCTCTTATTAGACCAATATAAAGCAATGCATGTGCATATACATTTTAACTGTTGAAATGTTTAAAATATTTTAATACTGTATAATTATTAATTAGAATTTTAATGTCTATTAGAGCTAAAATTTAGCCCTAATATAAATAAAATAAAATTTTAATAATATTAACTAACTACTACTTGGTTTGCTAAGCGCCGTGATAGCTCAGTGTCCGGGTGCTCGCCTTTAATTCAATATACTCGAGCAACCTGAGTTCGATCCCCGGTGTGACATGTATAGGCTGTTACTTTACTTTTTTACTTTACTCTGGTTCACTACACTTACATTGAATTTTTCACAACTTTTGAATGAAATAATAAATTAAACAAACAGAACATAACTAAAATAGTCATTTAATGAAAATTTACGTTTGATTAACCTTTGTAATATTAAATTTTATTATGGCAATGACAATTGTTGAATTTAAAGGAACATCACACTACTTTTTCTTATTTCATTTTATTTAAGATGTTTTAGAAGACTGCTTGAGAATGTACAACTTTCTATGTTTGTATATATTTTATATATATGTTCATCAGCACGAAGCGACTCAAATAGTTTAATATTTATATGACTTATTTCGTAAAAATGTGTTACGTTGTAGTTAAATTGTAAATCATAGCACTAAAAGAACCTAATATGAATTATTGCATTATTTATATAAAAAAAGAGGTCGACGTTTGTTTATATATGCATTTATTGACCCTTTTTCTGTTTCTTTTTTTACTTTTATCTTTTAAGTTTAAATTTTTTTATGTAAATCCAAATTACACGTACCTTTACAGATAGCTTAAAATTTATAGAAGTTATTTACACTAAACACACATAGTTATTGATTATTTACGTAATTGTTTTGCTCGGAAAACGCTAAACTATCAATCGTAGTCCGTAGGCAGAGCCGGAAGCGATTGTCATTGACGATTTTTTTCTATCGCTCGAAAATAGCATGTGTTTCAATCTTTCGGCTATGAATAAAATAAATGATACCACAATAACAAGATACATGTTCGTGCGTATTGAAATAAATTTAAATAAGTAGTCAACTTTATTAAATATCTAAAAATATTCGTAATTAAATTAAACGATAAGTATTTATAAACCAGATTTATTTAATAATATGTAGTTATCATATAAATGTAAGATATTTATAAGTCCTTAAAAGGGGAAATGTATCTATTTCTATATCTTACATTGATAAAAGAATTTATGAGGATGTCACATTAGGTCACGTGTGCTGA